TTCTGCCCCCGCTGCCGCTTCTGCCCCGCTGCTTCTGCCCCCGCCGTTGCTGCCACTTCTGCCCCTGCCGCTGCTTCTGCCCCCACCGTTGCTGCCGCTTCTGCCCCCGCCGCTGCTGCTTCTTCCCCCGCCACTGCTGCTGCTTCTGCCCCCACTGCCGCTGCCCCCGCGGTAGGGGATGAAGCGGCGGTGGTGGTGGGGGAAGAAGCTGTGGCGGCGGTGAGGGTGGCAGCGGGGGAAGAAGCGGTGGCGGGGGCAGCAGCGGCGGGGGCAGAAGCAGCAGCGGTGGTGGGGGAAGAAGCGGTGGCGGCGGGGGCAGAAGTGGAGGGGGCAGAAGCAGCAGCGGTGGCGGGGGAAGGCTTCTGCCCCCGCTGCTGCTGCTGCTTCTGCCTTCCAGTCCTGCCTCATCCAGCTGGGCCATTTGCAGGAGGAGAGGTAGGTGCGAGGCGGGCGAGCTTTCTCCCCCCCCCCCGCAAAATTTGGCCAGAAAATAAACCATGATAAAAAAACTGTGATAAAAAATTGTGATAAAAAATAAATAATTTTTAAATAAATAATTAATAATAAATAATAAAAACATCTCACTAACTTCATTTCCAAATAAATTTAATATGTTAACTATGTTTTCTATGGTTTTTTGGGATGATCAGGTATAGTTACTGTTATTTTATTTTATGTGCGGCCCAAACCAAATTTTCATCTTCTAATGTGGCCCAGGGAAGGTGAAAGGTTGGACACCCCTGATTTAAACCCTGTAAGCATTACGTAGTAATTGCATTTATTTTTGCAAACGAAAGGGTCATCATGGAGGTTTCCAAAAGCAAGAAAGGATCGTGTGAAGTGGGTGCAATTTTCTTCAGGGAGAGACAACATACCATACCTTTCATGGCCACCTCTCCTGGTTAGGATGGTTTGTGAAGCTGATTTGAAGAGGTTTGATGCAAAATAAATAAATAAATCACCGAAACAAAGCTTTCTTTCAATGTTCTCCACAGGTCTAGTGGTTCTGGATAAATAACTGATAAGTAGCTTTTATGTCTGTGGTAGATTCTTCTCCTGGGCATGGGGCTTTCTTTCCTAGGGCACTACTATACGCAGGGGAAGGATTATGCAGGAGGGTGCAGAGGATAAAAAATCCTGAGGATCACTACATGGCGGCAAAGAGTATTTTTAAGGCTATTCTCATCCATGATCACCAGGATTTTTGCAATCCAATCAAAATAGGGAAGACCCTATTCTTTGCCACATTGTCCTGTCTTTATCCTCCCTCCCTCCCTTTCATCTTTTTCTTTATTTCTTCTCCTCAGGAAAGAAAATAAGCCTTTTAACAGACAACTGGATAGTTGGTGGATGAATCTCTATCCTTCAGTGATATACGACGCCATGGATTGTTACTGACTGTGTGTGTAAGTATGTGGCCGTGTCTATTCACATTATGTAGATCGTGATAATTGTTGGTATTTAGTGAATTTTTGATTATTGTATGCTTGTATATTCCTGCTATTAAGCCATCAATGTTAGGCAATTGTAGTGGCATAAACACATGCATAATAAACAAACAAACAAATAAATAAATAAATAAACAAAATTCCCTGCCACCACAACTTTCCTCTTTTGGTTATTGTTTCCAAATACCTCCTTGACCTTCAGTACTTCGTTTTCAGCCTCTCTCTTTCTACTTTCATTCTGCTTGCTTGACTTCACGCACATTTATATGGCAAGTGAGAATTACTTTGGTTAGGTGTTCTCTTTCTCTTTCTTTCCCTTCATTTTATTTTGTTTGATCTTACTGCTTTAAATTACAATCTGAGCAACTGTGGCTAGGTCACTTTTTAGTTTTATTGTTTACCCCTTAATATAATTTGGAAGTGTCTATTGTTTTATGTTTTGATAGCTGCTATTCTATTAGCACTGAAGATGTGAGAAATAAAGAAAGAAAAGGGGACCACTTTGAATCTCTAGCAGCTGTGAATTGTTCTGTTGCATTGAAATTTTCCCTGGAACTATAATAGAATATCATACTCCTTATTTTGTACATTTTAGGCCTTGGTGACCATTATATGAAACTGTCACTAGCAATTACTTTTGTTGTCCTGGTTGTACTAACTTGGGGATTATCGTGGAATTCTTGAAAGCTAAGTCTATACAGCATGCAGCCTTCTGTTGGAAATTAGATCAAAGACAGATTTTATGTTCCCATGCTTAAACATTAGAATTGTGGTCTTAGCCATTTTAACGCATGCAGAATAAATACAACTTTTAGGGCCTTACTAAGAGCTGTGGCTCTTACAAGGGAGATTGGGTATTTCTACTGAGAAATCTTATCACTCTCACCAAATTACAGTTCTCAGGAAATTTGGGGAGGAAGCCATCATAATCACTCTGATAGAAAATGTGTTTCTTTTTCTACAGAACTTGTGGCAATCCTAAATTCTTTTGAAAATAAAACTGCAGTGGGAACCTATTAGTTGAAAGGGTAAAGAAGCTTGCAAAAGAAAGCTAGCTCTCTCTCTGTATGTACTGTACGTGTGGAGTGATGCTTGATAGGAGGATAACAGAGGTAGAAGCATAATTCCACTATTGTGAATTGTCAAATAGCAAATACTCTTAAGGTTTTAACTTTAAAAGATTAAGGATTTTGTTTTGTTTTGAACACCAAACTGCAAACAGCTTGTAGGCAGATTTTGTAAAATAATTGTTGTGGGAAATGGGCATTTGTGACTAATTCTGAAGGAAACGAGCAACAAAAAAAAGAAAGTGTGTGTACAGCATGTACTCATGTCCCTCCAGACTACGATTAAGATTTGAACTCAGTGTAATCCATTTACTACATAACAAAGCTGAAATTAGATTTTGATTAGCTGGATTTTGGGTTGAATCAATGCAAAATGATTGAATTAACTGACAAGCTGGTGAGCTCATGGCTCAACACAGTCAAACAAATGAGCAAAGTGAACGAGGCATCGACTATGCTAGACTTGTGTGAAATCTAAAAGAAAAATTAAGCAGATGGTAAGTTCAGGATGTGCTTTTCTTGTTCAGGTACTCTCTGTTCTTTACATAATTCCATTTATGTTTAGCCATATGTTTGTGAACTTTAGATGATGTTCATCTCAAATACTCTTCCAGTCTTAAGATATCCTTATTTTGGTACCTATGGAGATAAAATATAATTAATTACAAGAGTACTATTTGTATTCAATGCTATGATTAATTCACAATTTGGAATTGGGACTTTTGTTCTTTCTCAGGCTCAAAATCATCAGAAAGAATTGGAGAACAACAGTTTGCTCCTGAAGCCAGGGCAGAGGCAGCTCCGGTGCCTTTCCACAAGATAAATAGTGTCTGCTATTGTTAAACTGTAATTATTTGAAAGGCAAAGTTGGCTAGGTCATTGGTGAGAAACAGAAGAAATGGAAATGTTGAGAAGCAAGCCAACAATAGCTCGCTTCAAACATTTAATGAATGGCAATGACACAATTACATGCTAGCAACACCAGGTCCCAACAGCTGCCTAATTAAAACTGGACTCAAACAAGGCAGGAAAAATAACTTGATTTGGATGCTATTTGCCTTGGTAATTTGGTACCGGCTTGTGCATTCTTATTTTTTCCCCATTTGGGGCTGGATGTTTATAAAAACTTAATTAAGCTGGAAGGGAGAGATTGATATAAGTCTTTGCCTTAATGGACTCTCTTCCCGTGGGATATTAAGGAACTTGCATATGCCGAAGGACATAATGGAATTGAAGGGGGAGAGGGAAAGTGAAGAGGCAAGCCACCTCTGATTGTTTTGCAGATAGAGCACTGTTTATTCATTTTTTTTCCCTCAGCAAAAATTCCAAATCTCAAAATTGGACTCCAAGAAGCTATTTATAAGCTGTCAAGAGAGGCCAGCATTTCACTATTAAATGGATAGCAAATGCAATTCGAACTTTCTTCTAAAGTGGAAGATTAACATGGACTGGAGAGGAGCAGCAATGTTCAGGGACAGGAGGCCAGGGAGAGAGGTATGAAAAGCTGCCAGGTGCGCCTTATTATAAAGAAGAGTAGGCATTAAACTGGCACAAAAGGGAAGCTGCCAGGAATGGCCTGAAGAGGTTATATCTGACAAAAGCCATAAAGACGAATGGAGAAGGAATTGATTCAGAATATTGCAGCCTAGTAGAATTCAGCCTATATAAATTACCTCAGAGTATCATCTTGCTTTATTCCCTACCTTCCCCCCACTTCAAAGCCCTCTGCTCATTGGTGTATTAACACATTATATCAGACCAGTCATTACGTTAACCATGGTTTGTTAAGCAAGCTATAATAATTCTGTTCGTACCAGCCCTAGGCCATAACTATTGCTTACCAAACATAATAACTAAGATCACTCATCCTAAGAAACCAAATAATCGCTATCCATGCTTAGCATGAGGTATGAACCAGGCTACTGTTTTGAAAAACAGTTAAAATAATCAGTTGGGTAGAGTTTTAAGGAAGTGGGGAGGCTTTTGTGACGTTTAAGATGTCAGGATATGCTTCCCAACTGAGGGACTCCTATAAGGCATCTCACCAGAACTGGGAAATAGGTATATAAAATTGATCCGAGGGCTTTAAAGTAAACCCTGAATTTATTTATTTATTTTATTTTATTAATTAATTCATCAGTCGCTTACAAGATAATAGGTATAAGTACAAACATGAGTAAGAATACAGGAAATAGGTACGAATAAATGGGGACAATAGGACAGGGACGATAGGCACAATGGTGCACTTATGCACGCCCCTTACAGACCTCTTAGGAATGGGGTGAGGTCAATAGTGGATAGTTTGAGGTTAAAGGAGTAGGGGATTGAGGATGTCATAACAGAGTCAGGTAGTGCATTCCAGGCATTGACCACTCTATTGCTGAAGTTGTACTTTGTAGTACAACTGCGAGTTTGAAGCAGTTTACATTGAATTTGTATCTGTTGTGTGCTCTTGTATTGTGGTTGAAGCTGAAGTAGTCATTGACTGGTAGGACATTGTAGCAGATATTTTTGTGTGCTTCACTTAAGACTAACTGTAGGTGGCATAGTTAAAGGTTGTCCAAGACCAAAATGTCAAGCCTGGTGATATACAGTATTCTATTTCGAGCAGAGAAATGTAGTACTCTTCTAGTGAAATACTTCTGGATTCACTCAATTGTATTAATGTCCAATATACAATGTAGATTACAGACTGAAGAGCTGTATTTGAGTATTGGTCTAGCAAAAGTTTTGTATGCTCTAGTAAGCAATTCAATATTTCCAGAGGAGAAGCTTCGTAAGATTAGATTTAATGCGTTTTTGGCAATGCTGTTACAGTGAGGTCTGGCACTTAGGTCATTTGATATGAGAACTCCAAGGTCATCAACGAAGTCATATCCAACTAGTTTGTATTTGGTGTATTGATTTTTTTTTAACCAGTGTGTAAGACAGAGCATTTGTTGGTCAAGTTTGGAGTTGCCAATCGTTTGACCATTCAGACACATAATCAAGGTCGCATTGTCAGTGGTGTTAAATAGTTTTATGTTATCCGCAAAGAGGACGCAGTTGCTTATAAGGTGATTGCAAAGGTCATTTATATAAAGTATAAAGAGCGTGGGTCCTAGAATGCTGCCTTGGGGGACACTGCTGTTAACTGGAAAAGGGTTTGATATAGCACTCCCTATTTTTACTATTTGTTGCCTGTTTGATAGGAACGCAGTAATCCAGTTATGAAGGGATCCGGAAATGCTGTAAGAGTTTAGTTTTAACAGTAGTTTGTCATGTACCACTGAATCAAAGGCTTTGCAGAAGTCTATGTAAATTGCACCTATAGCTTTACCCTGGTCAAGTAGAATAGTCCATATGTTTTTGCAGTTTAGGAGTTGAACATTGCAGGACAATTTTTTCCTGAAACCAAATTGTTTTTTGGAGAGTAGGTTGTTTGACTCTAAGTGGAGGGTGATGAATTGGTTAATGATTGATTCCATGACTTTGCACATGACTCAACACAGTGAAATTGGTCTGTAGTTTTCAACCAGGCTGGGATCACCTTTTTTGATGATAGGGCTGACCATAGCTAAGGACCATAGGTTTGGTAAGGAGCTGGTTCTGAATATCTCATATATAATGCTTAGGGGTTCCACTATGGCAGAGGAGAGCTTTTTAAAGAAGTATGCACATAATCCATCAGGGCCAATAGATAAGAATGGTTTTAGGTTATGTAGTGCCTTTTCTATGTTATCTTTTGTAAAGTCAATATGTAGTAGGTTGTTACAGTTAGTTGTGGTACGACTAGGAAATGTGGGGCATGAACCACTGCTGTTTACAAAGACTGAACAGAAGGATGTGTTGAAGAGATTAACGGCTTCATCGTTTGGTGTTTACAGAATTGTAGAAGGTGTGGGTGGATTTTGTACGTAGGAGGTTTTCCTCTTACTTGTAGTGGTAATTTGTTCATTCTGCCTTTATCTGTCGGCATAAGGTGTTGTATTGGTCTTTAAAGTTTGCTACATAGCTAGTTTTTTTTTTTGAAAATGGAAGAAAGTTCAGGAAATAATGCAATACTAAGCATGGTAAATAGATCTGAGAAAATTGTGCAAGTTGCATGTAATAATGAGCAATACAGGAAAGATTTGGTGAAATTACAGCACATGAGCCATACAAGTGCATATAATGTGGGAACAAAGAGAACCTGGGCTGGTCCCTGCAGTTTTCTTGGCAAAGTTTTTTCAGAAGTGATTTGCTATTGTCTCCTTCCTAGGACTGAGAGTGAGCGACTAAGGCAGGATAGAACAAATGTCCTTTCTTGCTGATGCCTTAATGAGCTCTCATCTTAACATAGGAAGGTGGATATGACTTGATAAGCTTTATGAAACCAAGTGAACCAAAATCTGGGTGGGGTGCAAGACATAAAGGACTAGACAGAAAAAAGGGAAGAGAGGGAAGAAGTGTGATTATATAAGAAGGAAGAACAAACCTAGATTATCTTTGTATACAACCACATTTCTCCTCCCTCCTGCCTTTTCTAGGAATCTGAGATGATTACTAGTTTTCAACCAGGATGTCAAGAAAGATCATTTGATTTGGAATGCAAGTTAGGGGCAACAGAAAAATAACAGAGGGTACTATTAAGCAGGGGTAGGATTCAAAATTTTTAACAACCGGTTCTATGGGCATGGCTTAGTTGGTGGGTATGGTTTGGCAGTCATGTGACTGGGTGGACATGGCTTGTTGGTCATGTGACTGGCTGGGCATAGCCAACTCAACATCACTCACATTGAGGCACGCATCTCCTCGCCTGGCCTCTCATGACTGTGGGGATGCTGTAACAGTTGTAAGTGTGAAAAACGGTCATAAGTCACTTTTTTCAGTGCCATTGTAACTTTGAATAGTCACTCCACACAAGCAAAGTACCAGCAAAGGAGGAAAAAAAAACTCCCGAGAAGTTCCAGAGACAGGAAGTCTAGTCCTGCCAAGAGTGTAATAAGGGTTAATGGAGAGGCAGTTTCTCTAAACAACACCAGAATGTTTCCTTCCTGCCTTCCTTACAGGATTAGGCTAATAATTTCTTCTAACAACTGGTTCTAGTGAATAGATGCGAACTGGTAGAATCCCACCCCTACTATTAAGCTGTCAAGCCAGGCATATATTTTGAATCATGCACCTCTGGATGAGATTACAAAACTTCTACAAGGTAGGAGAAATATTTTGATAATGTTGTATTGTTAGTTGTAGTAAGTTACAGTCAGTTTCACAGATGTCTCATGGAAAGCCAATTAGGCAAAGGTTGCAACAATCAGCAACACCACTGGAAAAATTCTTTAGTGCCTTTGCTGACTTTTATTTTCCATAAGGTTAAAAAAGAAATCAGAAGAGTTCTAAATCTAATTCAAGTAATTATGAAAGGACTGGCAGAGGAGGAAAAGCTGGGAGAATCTAGGGAGAAAGTGGTCATATTATCATAGGGTTCTAGTTACTAATGAAAGAGAAATTGGAGCACAACCAAGCATGTACATTACATTTCAATGTTAAGTTTACATGTCAATGTTAAGTTTAGATAACTGCTAGGTGGGATTTCATGAACAAAAATTCTTAGGTCAGAGGCAATGCAGGAGGACTGGGAATTTTTAAACTATAAGATAAAACATCCTACTATTCCAGCGATAAAAAGCAGGGATATCACTGAGAATGCAGAGGAACCTTTAGACTGAACTGTGAGTTAAAAGGGACATATAAAGGAAGAAGGAGATGGATGTAACCAGCAAGAAAGCAATCATCAAGTAGCTAATATTTGCAAAAGGAAAATTAGTCTGAAACATAAATTGAACTGAGGCTCACGATGGAAGCTTAAAGCATCATAAAGGGCTTTTCTGGCTATGCAGATGATAAAAAGAGAACAAAGAAGGGGCCAGACCACTGCTAAGAAAATATTAGAACCCAAACAGATGACAGGAAGAAGATAGAACTCTTCAAGGTCAACTATCCACACATAAGGAGATGGTGAGAGAACATCTGGCTACAATGAAGGAGTTTAAGTGTCCTAGACAAAACTAACTGTATCTGGGAGCTTTGGAAGAACTTATAAATGTCATCTTGGAACTCCTTTCTGAGATCTTGGAAAAATCTTGGAAGATGGCCCCAGTATTAGACAATGGGAGAAGGTTAATCTTGTTTCTGACTTTAAAAAGATTTTAAAAAGCCTGTTCAGTATTGATACTAGGCAAAATCCTGGAAGAGATTTATTAGGAAATTGGTTTTTGAATATTTAGAAAAGCAGCCCATTGCTTGGTAGGAGCCAATATGAGGTTATCAAGAACGAAGTGTCAAATTAATCTTCCTTTTGATAAAATGACCTTTTGATAGATTGTCAAGGGAAATGTGTGGACAAAATGTACATTGACTTACAGAAAGTATTCAACAAAGTCTCACATAACATATCAGTAGAGAACATGACAAAATGTGGGTTGGACAATCATACCATAAGATGGATATAGAGATTGCTGAATAATCATGCTAAATAAATGTATTTTAATTACTCTATATTAAGCTGTAAATAAGTTTTGAATGATGTACTGCAAGACCCCACTTTAGGCACTATGCCAATTAACTTATTTATAAGTAAAATGTATCCAGGATTAGAAAAGAGGATTATCAAATTTGCCAAAGAAAAATTGCAAATACTTTAGAAGATAGTATCAAGACCCAATAAGATCATTACAAGAAGAATTCCAATAGAAAGAAAAAAAGTCCTGTACTGGAGTAGGAAAATGGGAGGTGTGAGTATCAAATGGCAGGCATGAGGGTAACCAAATTGGACCATATTACATATGAAAGGGATCTGTTGTCTTGGTGGATCAGAAATTGAACATGACTTAATAGTGTGATGCAGCAGAAGAAAAAAAACCCTTATCCACTCCTAGGCTGAAACAGAAATATAACATCAAGAAAAAGAGAAGACATAATTCTTCTCTATTCAGCTGTCTAGATGAACACCATACATAGACTCTTGTATCCATTTCTGGGACTACATTGACAAATTGTATCATGTGCAAGAAGAAGGATCTTGGAAGGAAAAACTATGACGAACAATTGGAGATGTTTGTTCCGTTTAATACACAGAAGGAAAGACTTGGAATACATTAAAAACTGTATTCATGTCTCTGAAATATCAGCAAATAAAAGATAGGTGATAATTGTTTAGAGCTATTGCAAAATACAGGATAAGAAAGAATGCTTTCAAATTAGAATGATGAAGATTCAGTTGTACATCAAGAAAAATATCTAAATGGTGCTAGCTATTAAACAATAGGACAAACTGCCTGAGAAGGTAGTAGACTCTTCTTTGTTGGGGGTGTTCAAACAAAAGTTGAATGAACCTCTGTAAGAGATGTTGTAGTAATGGATTCTTTAGTGGGCAGAGGGTCTAAATAGATTATCTCCAAGGTACCTTCCAATCCTTCCTTTCCATGTTTTTATAAGATTCTAACCTGTGACATCCAAAAGTCTGGGCATTACAAAAGCCACATATGAATAATCACATTATTGGGTAACTCAGATGAAAAATCAAATCATCAATTACCATCAAAAAAACTATAGCAATTGTTGCTGTGTTTGCCCTAGAATGATAACAATGCATTTATTAATGGAACATTTCCTGATATTGCTTGACATTGTACATATAATTTTGTTATTAATCTGTGACATGGATGCCTTTGCCTTTGGGTAATGCAATAAATTAATCTTCAGTACAATTTGTAGACTAAGTTGAGCATAACATTGGCATATAAAAAGAGTGCATTTATTTCTCATCACTTTAAAAGATACTGTTTTGAATAAGCCTGTATGGGATTCTGAGAGATGTTTTCTTCTTTTGTTTAATGCAGACCTTTGTAGGAACTGTTGGCTGAGATGCTTCAATATATACCAGAGGTCTCCAAACTTGGCAACTTTAAGACTTGTGGACTTCAACTCCCAGAATTGAAGTCCACAAGTCTTAAAGTTGCCAAGTTTGGGGACCCCTGATATATACATTAAATCATAGTATCATAGAGCTGGAAGGGAATTTGGAGATCTTCAAGACCAATCCCCTGCCCAAGGCAGGATCCTCATACCGTCTCAAGCAAATAGTTGTCAAACTTTTTCTTGAAAACCTACAGTAATGGACCACCCACATCTTATTCTGGGAGGCAAGCTGTTCTACTGTTACTGCCAGGAAATTCTTTATTTTCATGTTGGATCTTTCTCTAATGAGCTTCCACTCATTGCTTCTTGCCCTACCCTCAGGTGCTCTGGAGAATAAATCAATGCTCTTTTCTCTGTGGCTGCGCTTCAAGTATTGGAAGATTGCTATCATGTCTCTCCCTCAATCATTGAACTAAATATTCCTAATTCCTTTAGCTGTTCTCCATAGGATTTAGCCTCTAGATCTTTTGTCATCTTTATTGTTCTCCTCTGCATTCTTTTTAGGGCCTTAGAATCTTTTTTTTGAATTGTGGTGACCAGAACTGGATGGAGTATTCTAAGTGAGGCCTCACCATGCAATATAAAGCACTACCATCATTTTATTTGATCTGATACAATTGCTCTGCTGGGATACATGGAACAGAAAAACAGCTGGGAGGGATTTGGAGAATGAATGAGTTAAGTTGCCCCAGTTAAATTGCATAGCTCCATCCTATATAGTAAATCCAACTGGGTTCTATGGAACTTACACCATTTATGGCTTTACTTCTTAGACTTCTGGGAAGGTGTTAGAACTGAAGGGCAAATTGCAATTCCCATCCCTTCACAATTGGACAGGTGGAATGGTGTTCAGCACCATCTGGAGAACAACTAAAGCTTCTGTATATTAAGGATTTCCCCTGTGCAAGCCAAGAAGGTCTCTTGGCAGAGAAGGAGTTCTACCTCCAACAACCTTCTCATAACTCTCCTCCATTACCTCCACTCTACAGCTGGTATTTTTGTGGTATGTAAGGAGCTATGTTCCAGCTATCTCTGGGGATTTCATATTTACTCGTTCCCTAGATCTATTCCCCAAACAATCCATTTTCAACCAAGGAGCTGTTAATATAAATTTCCTACTCAACCTATACGTTAAAAGGTTTTGTGTGGATGAAAAGACAAACTGCCTTTCCACCTGCTCCTGCATACAACAGAGCTGGATTACTTGATTCCGAGTGAACATCCTGATTTCCCCATTATTAAATGTATACTACACCTTTAAGTTTTTAGAAAAATTATAACAGAAGAAGAAAACTGTTAAATACAAGGAAAGTAATTCATATTAATTGAACTAAATTTTAAAATGAAGTACATCAAATTGAGATTATGAGTCTAGTCTAGTCCCACCTATTTTGTAAGGGAGAAGGAAGGGGCCACCGTGCAAAGCATAGTTCTTTTGCATAAGAAATGGCAAAAGCTACACTGCTGATGTTTAGCTCTCCCAATGATAGCATATCTCATCTAGGGAAGTAAATATTCCAGTGCTAATGATAAAAGAAAAAGGAGTAACTGCATAGTTTAAAAGGGGGACTTAGATTTGCATATAACATGCAAATGGATATGTAGAGATGCAAATTTAGAAGTAATTACTGTAATTATAAATAGAAATAAAAATGTCTTGCCATTGTGGGGGAAATGTAGCTAGGGGATTTGGATGAGTGTTTGGCCTGCTAGCAAGAGTCCCATGGTTGGTGGGAAAACCTAGGGGCCTCTTCTCCTTTTTGATAGCACTCATCAGAGATGGACAGTTACTTGGAAAAGATTCTCTGCTAGCTCTTGAAACATCTTTGGTAATGCAGGAGAGTTAGTCAGGATCTTCACAGTAAGAAATGCTGACTGCTGTCTTTAGAGACCAAGTATTGGACAGTGATGGCTTAATGTTTCTCTTAGCATGAAACTTATGCTAGTTAGGTTAAATGGGCACTATAGCCTATTCCTGTGGAAGAGATAAAATGAAACTTTTACTGAATGTTTTATGTCATTTCAGGAGATGATGGATGGATGGATGGTTGGACAGACAGAATAAAACAGATAGGTATTCTCCCTTTTGGAATTCAGATCAGCTCATTAAATTCAGCACTGGAAGAAGTAGTTGGCAATTTCTAACTTTAGTGGGTTTTTTTCTTTTTAAGAAAGGGGATGAACACACACACACACACACACACACACACACACACACACACAAAGTATATATGTGGGTGAATGGGTGGATAGATGAGTATATACATGTGTATATTTATGTGAACTGGCAATAATATTGCTATGGGAGGGAAAGAGTTTTGTGAGGGCTCTTCTCTATATCAGCTCATGTAAAGAATTTTTACAGAGATTCTGAGGATGTTGAGGCATTCAGATCCCAAGCATCCTTCAATAAAAATGCCCTTTGTCTTCCCAGAAACATAACGTTCCAAATTATATTCTTGGGAATTCTAGAATTCCTTGTGATCTTGTAATGTATTCTGGTAAGTTCTTGTCAGAGCATAAGCCTGTAGCCTCTACTGTCATAGAAAGACTCTAAGAGTAACTCTTTATTTGAGTTGCATTCATCATTGTCATTTTCAAGGACACTTCCTTGAGTATCACACAGTCCTAGAGTCCTTTAGATACATGGAAAATTTCAGATTCCTCAGTCCACTAGGATGGAGGTAGTCATAACTAAATGTCAGACCTTCCAGAAAATAGAACTATTTTTCTCCCC